TTTGCATTGAAGATCAAGGTAGAAATTAATTCCCATGTTTTATACTTTGCTCTTCCATAAAGGGATATATTTGAATCTCAGTCTGTGCCTTCCCAGATTTGAATGTGAATTCTAGTTTTAATATCAATGTAAGCGATGTTTCCTTCTCACTGTCAACATTACATAATGACACAAAGAGACAAATTTTCAGTAGATATCTGAGTACTCTGGTCACTTCAGGTTTGTCTGATACTGTTGCCATGAAATCATGGCTAATGCATTGCAACTGTATGCTGAGAATTTATATACCATGAATTCCCTTGGAGGTTTTAAATAGCAAGTTACTAATTACCTCCCTTGCCAAAAGTTCTTAAGACATGAAGTATTTATTTGTAAGTAGCTTCTTTATTTCACCTTAGGGAATGCTGAAACCGTTCTCGTGGTGTACTTTGGTGACCTAAGCATTTAAAAACTGATGAGTAAGATACCGTAGAGATATGTTAAAGTCCCATGCTGCCAAGTTTGTTTGGTTAAACAGCCCAGTTTCTATTAGAGAGATGGGACTAAATGTGCATTTTCCTTTACTGGGGGAAATTTTATGCCAGTGGGCACAAAGAGGATCCAAATGACAAATAAATGAGTTGGGGAAACTGCTGCTGGGATTTTGTCTGAACAGGGACATCCATTCTCGCGAGAACATCCTGAGCATCAAGGGTTCTTAGCAAAATTTCTCCCAAGAAACTTCCAAACTGAAAGTTAATGATTACCACCTGACTGCCTTGGAAGCCACAGGATTCTTTCCTCGCACTCAGTAGATCCACTTAACCCTTCACTTGCAAATTTAAACTTTCCCATATTGAAACTATTTCACAAAAGTGGAAATTGAATTTTAATCTAAATATACATGCGTGTAAGAGGGAGAAGGGTCACATGACTCAAATAACAAAACTAGTAACTGATAGGAGTCTTGCATGTGCTTATTCAAATGCTTCAGCATGGCATCTTGCTTAAATCCCTCAACGAGCCTTAAAGCAGGCACCACTGGGCCCGGAGTGGTGGACTAGTGGCTAAAGTCCTCACGAGCACCGGTTCTCACCCTGGCAGCCCCGCTTCTCACCCTGGCAGCCCCGCTTCTCATCTAGCTCCCTGCTTGTGGCCTGAGAAAGCAGCAGAGGATCCCACGTAGGAGATCCGGAAGAAGCTCCTGGCTCCTAGCTTTGGATCAGCACAGCTCCGGCCATTGTGGCTGCTTGGAGAGTGAATCAATGGACAGAAATGTTTCCCTCTGTCTCTCTTTCTCTCTGTACATCTGACTTGGCAATAAATATAAATAAATCTTTAAAAAAAAAAAAAGGAAGTACGAGAACACGTCTAACTAGATAAGGCACTTGAAGTACTGACTTGAAACGGGTTCCCCTGATGGTAAAAAGGAGGAAACTCAACATTTAAAAGATGATAAGGAGTCAGGATCTTGGACTTTCAAGACAATGACAAAGCACTCGAATTACAACTTTTAAGAAGCCTGCACATCAAGCAACAAGGTGAGTCCTGTCAGAGCTGATCATACCCCCCAGCATGAACCCAAAGACGGTTTCATTTGCAGGTCTGGGGAAGATGTCTCTGTTGGTAGAGCAAAAAGAAACCCAGCAAGCACGTGGGCACATCATGAAGGTCAAAGTGTCAGCACACCCACGTGTCCACGAGAGAGGGCACCACTAGCAAGACCAAACCACGTGTCCACCAGAGAGGGCACCACTGGCAAGACCAAAAGCAGCAGGGACCTGTAGAGAAAACCTTCCCTGGCATAATGCTTGGAGTACATCAGCAGCAGCACCCAGAGAGCAGGGAGCTAACTGAAATCAGGCACACAACACTCACAGAGATCAAAGAGCCTGACGGGCACAAGAAGTCAGAAACAGCACGTGTTTCCACCAACGGGAAAGGAAAACCCCAGGAATCAGGGACATTAGGAATGGCAAAGTGAAGGAGTTTCCCACCAATAATTACCCAAGATGTTAAGGATGCCTAATTTGAAGCAAAAGTGTTAAAACAATTTTCAAATAATAGTATCTTCATGAATAAGGTTGAGCAGTATTGGAGCACACATACATAAAATCAGTGCACACACACCAAAAAAGGTAAAATGTGCAGTATTTGGCATATAACAAAAATGACCAGGCATTCAGACAAGTAGAGTGATGGCACATAATGAACAGTATAAAAACAATCAAAATAAGTTCCAAACTGACAGAGATACTAGACATAATGGGGAAAAAAACGTACATTGGAACACTTAGGGAACTGCATCCCACATATTCAAAACCTGAAGGAGGGACATAGAAAACAGTAGGGGAAAAATCGGTGCTCCAAAGATGGAAACGGCAGTGTTTGACATAAAACACAAAACAAAACAAAAATGACCTGTGTAGCTCTAACAACCAAACATTACAAAAAAATAAATAAGTGGACTTAAGGGCACAGTAACAGAAGTTATTGGTAAAAAAAAAAAAAGACTAGAAAAACAAATAGTTCATTTTAAAGAACAGAACATTGTCAATATGTGGGATCATATCAAGTGGCCCAAAACATGTGTATTTGAAATCCTTGAAGGGTGGGAGATGCTTGAAGAAATAAAATCGGCTGGAACTGATGTGGTGGCTCATACCACCAGGGGTGGTGGCAAACCATATGGGCACAGTTCTAGTCCTGGGGGCTTCATGTCTGATCCAGCTCCCTGCCTACAGCCTGGGGAGGCCACAGAGGATGGCTCAAGTCCTCACATCCCTGCACTCACACAGGAGACCAAGAGGAAGTTCCTAGCTGCTGGCTTCAGATTAGCTCAGCTCAGGACATGACAGCCATTTGTTGAGTGAACCAGAGGATGGAAGATCTCTCATTCTCTCTCGCCTCCTCTCTGTAAATCTGCCCCTCCAAAAAACTAAAAACAAAGAACAAAACTAAAAAAACCCAAACTTATACAATAATTGGGGATTAATCAATAATAGATCAAAAAACCAAAGGTGAAGATAGCTTTCATTTTTTAATCTTTGTTTTTTATTATAGAAATTTAAGGTGAACCAGACAAAATTCTGAATGTACACCTCAGAGTGACCACTGCTATTAAGCAAATTAACATATCACCTCAAACAGCTGCTTTTTCATTCAAAAATACTTTTAACTGAATGAAAATGAGAAAATGACGTAGCAATATCTGTAAAACACCGCAAGCGTTGTACTCAGGTGAAATTTTGTAACATCAAATGCCTGCCTTTATTGTAAAAGGAGAAGGTTTTCAAGTCAATTACTTCTGCTTCCACCTTAGGGAAAAAAATAAAGTCAAGGACAAACTGAATAAGGCAGTAAGTAAGCTCAGAATAATCCACAGAACAGAAAAAGAAAAGCAGAAACACAATCGAGCACTGAAGGAATCCGTGAGACTGATGGAGCAGCAGGCTTTGCACAGAGGGGTTGGGAAATCAGCTCGGAAGCCTGCATCCCACACAGGAGCGCCTGGGGCCACATTCTGACTCCAGCTGATTCCACTTTCCTGCTTCTGTGTACCGTGGGAGGCAGGAAGGATGGCTCCAGCAGTGGGGTCCTGGCCATACTCCTGGAAGCCCAGAATGGAGTTTCTGGCTTCTCGCTTTGGACCTCAGTCCCCGTGGTGTGTGGGGTAGACCAGCACATCCTCACTTTCTCACTCTTCCCTCTCATTTCTCCCTCTCATTCTGTCTTAATAACAATAATAGCAATGGCTTACCAAACCGATCAAAGACGACACTAATTACCAACACTAGCAATGGAAGCCATGGTCTCACTACAGATACCAGAGACTTAGGAAAACATCATTGACAACTTTATGCCTGTATATTCCTTAGAAAAAATGCAAAAATTTCTCAAAAAAGGCAAACTACCAAATTAAAGAAGAACCAGTCACCATAAACAACACTATCTCAAAGTGTACAGATTTGCAATTTAAAATTTCTCCATAAAAATATCTTCAGTCCCACAAGATATAAACTATTCACTTTTTTTTTCAAGAACTAAAGAGGAAAAAGAATTATACCAGTTATTTGTAAATTTCCAGAAAACAGAAGCTGGATATTTCCAAATTCATTAAAGAAAAATGGCATTACTGTGATTCATATTATAAGAAGCAAAAACTCTACAACAATACTCTTCAAACAGAATCCAGAATTATATGAAAAGAATGACATACTTCGACCAAGCAGGATTTATTCCAGTAATGTCAGAATGGCTTATCCTCTGAAAGTCAGCTAATAAAAGTCATTATATTAATAGAATAGATAAGAAAAATCACAGGACATTTTAACAGAAGCAGAAAAATGCCAAATGGATTCTTGATACTCTTGTTGGAAACAAGTACAAATGTTATATAAGTTAACTTGTGAAAAGAAAGCCAGAAACTTGAATTCCAAGGAGACTCAGTGTGTGTTTAACAGTCATTATCATATCAACATCATCTTCGTTTAGCTTCCTCCATTCCCATCTTCCATTGAATAACAATGGCACATTTTTATTTTTTTTTAATGATATAGTTCTATAGACCCTGGGATTTCCCACACCTCCTCAAACCCCTAGCCCTCACCACTTACTTTTAATTTACTAACTTACAAGGTTTTATTGCATATTCAGTTAATTATATTCAACCGACCTTCGTGTCATCACAGGCCAGTGCACACTGTATTTCTACTTCTTGAATGTGAATTACCTTAAACACCAGAATTTTAAACTTTCCTTCTTGTTTATCAGGAAAAAAAAACCAAACAAACTTATTTCTGCTGTGTTGTAGGTAAGAAAACAAAAGTGAAAAGTCAGAATGGCTTATCTTTACATCATACTTCATATTTTTCACAGTATTTTCATGCTGTCTTAGGATCCCATGTCTTTAAGCTCACTGTGACGGTATCTTTACAGATGAGAAACTGAGATCAAGGCAAGTGAAGTGATTTAGTCCTCATCTACAGCTGTTGAATGTCCACTCAGACACAGAAGCTTACCATCTCCTTCACGTTTCAAAGACAGCTTCGTCAACATGAATCATCTTTCTTGAACTGGTGGTATGTGCACAGCTATTTGCCAGACATGCCCCTCCAAGAGCATTTGATCATGAGAGCCTTGTAACCTGACCACAAGGCTTTGGGCTCAAGGGTAGTGAAGCCCGCTGGATAACATACACACCCAGCAAATCTCACCTTGTTAAAGGACCAGAAAGATCCTTAGGGAGGAATCTTCCATATGGAACTTAACAATTCACATTATTTTAACAGAAGACTCCAAAGCCTAAGAAATATTCATTATACTTTTTGTTCCAAACTGCTCTTCAAAGTGAAATTCTCCTGGTTGAATAATTCAAGCCTTACACAGGAGAGTTTAAAAATGAGCTGCTTTTTAAAATAAAGACCTATATCAGAGAACCGTGAAGTCAGTTTAGCTAGAAAAATAATCCTCATCCTCAAATTATTTAACAGAGGCTAACTTGGAGTGCTGCAGTGTATTTTGGAGCCGCTTCTACCCAATTTTAGTAGAACTGCCTCTGCACAGCTGACAGGAAGGAATGAAGAAAGGTTTTCCTCTACTATAAATAAAATAGAGAAGTATGAGGCGGGAGAGCATTTGAAAGCTGGCTGACTTGCTGTTCCTCTTTTAAAAGTCACTAAATTAGTTTAAAAATATCTCAGATAGCAAGCAGTTCGTGAATTTCTCCAAATGATAACCAATCTTTAGGGAACAGCCTTACTTTGTCATTATTGCTGAAATAAATTATTTACCTATATAACAGATTAACGTCCCTGGGGAGAAACTAACAAAAATACCAACAGATTATGTTTCTAGACACAGGTACAGCTCAGTTTGCCTTATTCAGTTCTTTAATTTGGTAATTATGAAATAGTCCATGACCAAATCTGTCTCAGTTATAAACTTCAGCATGTGAGTCTCACGCAGCCACCCTTTTTCGGACACTCCATCAGAATGGCAGTTTTTAGATACTGGCAGTATGTGGTATGTGGTACCATCGCTTTTCACAGAGAACTTAATGTTCAGTTGGCTTCCTCAAAAGAAAATAGAAGAACAAGCAATGTCAATAGTTTGCCATTTTACAAAACAGAGAATTAAAAGAATAAAAGATTCTTGGAGAGCAAATTTCCAGAGATGTCAAACATGAGACTGAATTATCAATAATAACTGAATCACAACTAGAACTGAAGCCAAATTCACACTGGATTATTTTTTTTTTGAACATTTTTACTTATTTGTGTGTGAGAGAGTGTAGAGGGAGATCCCATCAAACACCTGCAACACTCACTGCTCAGGGCCAATGCCAGAAGCCAAGGAGCCAGGATTCCCATCCAAGCAACGGGATGCTGGGAGCAAGAACCACCTGCCTGGGCCCTCACCTGCCACCGCTGAAACCGCAAGAGCTGGAAGCTGCATCAGGCACTGCACCGTGGCATTTGTAGGTGTCTGCACCGCTGGCTCCACCTTGTCCCATCTACCAGCCCTATATAGCCTTTAACACAAAGATCTGCATGTACTCAATTGAGAAATACCTACTTGCAGTAAATACATGATTCACAATACACAGGGGAGTGTATCCACAGGTCTCTCTACAGAATCCTCGGCACAGTGCTTTGTTTGCTTATCTGTGGTTTATACACAGACTAAAATTGGATCCGTGTTTGTGAAAATATGAAAACATAGAAATAAACAAGAATGATCAGAGCTTGGCAGCATCGCACAGGGTAGTTGAAATGAGGCTAGACCAAATGCTTACAATAACAGTGGTAACAATCACAGCTATTTGACCTTATACAGAAGTTCTATGTGCTATTGCTGTTTCTCATTTAGAGATGGCACAACTAAAATCCATGAAGCTGTACTAATTTCCCAGGGCCCTCTCCACAGCAAGCAGTTGAGGGAAAGTTTGATCCCTTCCATTCTGATTGCAGAGGCTGAATTTCTAACTATCTTCATCAAAAAACTGTACACTGTTTTGCATTAAAGATTCCTTTGCTGTATAATCTATGCTTTCAATACAGATTTATCAACAGTAAGATAAACAAGTAAAACATGCTGCTAGCTACCAAATGCAGATGGCATTAGTGTCTAAAGTGCAAAAATCTTTTCTTTCGCCATTGCACCTGCCATCCTCCCTCGCCCATTCATCAGACAGAGATGGAAAGCGACCCTTGGGTACCATCCTGTGTACAGCACGGGTCACAGTTCCTTCTACTTCCTTCTGTGATAGAGAAATGGAAGCTTTCTTAGATAGATAAAGAGTAGTTTTTAGCCGTTATGCCCACTCATTATTTAATGAATCTACCTTTCCTTTGTTAGTCTTGTCTACAGTTCTCTTCCTGTCTTCTTTTTTTAATATTAGAGATACCTCATTCTAACCCATCTCCTTCTCCCTGGCCCCAACAGAAGCTTGAAATTTTAAGGCAATGAAAAAACAACAAACAACAATATAACCTTCCTGTTGTTGTTGCACCACGGTTAGTGACATATCCATCAATATCAAGACTATGCTGGCTTAGTCTAATCCTGGAATGTGATTCTGAGTAATCCACGAGGGAGGACGGGAGAGCTTCACTACCAACCTGCCTGCTGTATAAACCAGGGAACTGGAACATAGGATTATTGGTGGCACAGGAAGGGACTTCGACAATACCTTAGAAAAATGGAATTAAAAGGTAAGTTTGGTGCTGAGAAAAAAAAAAAGTATGAAGTCATGCATAGGTTTCCCAATGTGTCCCTGTTTCGTGAACTTTTGAAACACTCTTCTTAATATACAGGACCAGAAATGGATAAAACAGCCAGCAGAAGAATGGAAGCAAAAGGGACAAATGTAACCGAGGAAAGACACCTCCAAACCAAAGTGGCATCTCTTGTCCAATTAAAGCTACTGTCGGATTGTGTAACAAACTCTTTCATTTCCCACATTAAATGCATTTCCTGAGTTCCTCCTTTTTATGTTCTTCCTGTTTTCAACGTATTCTTTTCTCTCTTTAGGGTTGCAAGTTCGGAAGTTCTAAAAGATGGCTGTCAGGCAATAAAAACACAGAGACATTTCTCATACTTAGTTTGTACACTTTAATCTCCTGTTTATCAACTTATTCCCAGCTCCCTGTCAGCCCATTTTCTCCAATTCTCATAATTTGGTGGCTTAATTTCTGGAAATAATCAGATTCTGGAACCCTACTGCTCAGAAGAGTGGTCTCCTAGTGAGCGGGGTGGTTAAGCAAAGGGAAAAGAGAAGCAACGGAGTGGCTGAGTAGTAATTAGAACAGAACTTTCAATCGGTTATATGTTCGCCCACACCTGTAACTCCTGCACCCGTTGCAGGTAAGGGCAACGAGATTCACTCACCTACAAATATTGAGTTTGAATTTCTGCTACTGAAACCAACCTTACTCACATCGTCCAAAATTTGTTGAGATGGCTTCTCTAGACCTATTTTTTTTATCATTTTTTTAAAAAGATGTATTTATTTGTTTTCATTGGAAACTCAGATATATACAGAGGAGAAGAGACAGAGAGGAAGGTCTTCCATTCGCCAGCCCATGCCCCAAGTGGCTGCAACAGCCTAAGCTGAGTCGATCTGAAGCCAGTAACCAGGAGCTTCTCACAGGTCCCCCACAAGGGTACAGGGTCCCAAAGCCTCAGGCCATACTCAACTGCCCTCCCAGGCCACAAGCAGGGAGCTGGATGGGAAGCAGGGCTGCTGGGACACAAACTGGTGCCCACATGGGATCCCAGCGTGCAAGGTGAGGACTCCAGCCATTAGGCTACTGCGCCAGGCCCATTTACCTCTCATTTGTCATCTTTTGTGGGATTACTTTAAATCTCTACTCTCACTGTGCAGTGTCTAGCAAGTATAATCCTTTGAATTTTTTTTAAGATTTACTTAATTTTAATTGGAAAGTCAGATATACAGAGAGGAAGAGAGACAGAGAGGAAGATCTTCCATCCGATGATTCACTCCCCACTGACCGCAATGGCCAGAGCTGATTCGATCTGAAGCCAGGAGCCAGAAGCTCGGGTGAGGGTCCCTAGCCTTTGGGCCATCCTCTGCTGCTTTCTCAGGCCACAAGCAGGGAGCTGGATGGGAAGCAGGGCTGCTGGGGCTAGAACCGGCGCCCATATGGGATCCTGGCATGTTCAAGGAGAGGATTTTAGCCACTAGACCACCACGCCGCCGTGCCCTAATCCTCTGATATTTTTAAGACACAAACATCCCCAAGCATCTTTACTAAGCTCTTAAATGTGAAACATATTTTGCATCCAGCAGCAATGCCTGTGGCATTGCACACCTAATTGGGATATTGAATGGGTTACATTTACATGAACAAGTATAGGAGAGAGCTATATCTTTCTAGTTTATTAATATTCCCCCAAGGAATTGGTGGTAATTTAAATTTCATACATTTTATCCATCTCTGATGCAGTATTTTTCCTTTGATCTATTCCTTTGATTAATCACTAATGAATTCCTTTCTCTAAGCCATCCCTGGTTTAGGTGAATTATTTTCAGTTACTAAGAAATTTAATTTGCTAAATTTATAATTAGAATTCTGCCTACATATTTAAAAAGAGATTGGCCTATAGGTATATCTTATAAAAAGATATGGGCAGGCTTTAGAGTCAGAATTATCTTACTTTCAAAAACATTAATGGAAATAATTTCTACTGATTTCTATTCATGAAAATATGGGTTTATTGAAAATTTGGAAAGCTTACTGGTTAAAAAAACACTTTGAGTAGTAAGATTTAAATAATTTTTTTCAGTTTCTTTCATTTCAAATATAATTTTCTGGTTTCAAATTATACTCATTGACATTTTTAATTCCAACCATGTTTAAACGTGTATCTAATTTTTAATTAACATTATACCTCATTTCAGCTTCTGTACTCATTTTTAAACTTCGATCTATTTGCTAGACAAATGGAGAAAGACAGAGCTACAGCTCTTGTTTGCGGCTCACCCCTCCAACGCCCTCATGGCCAAACCTCCAGGTCTTTCGCATGGGATGCAAGAACGCAGTCACAGGACTATTACCACTGCCTCCCAGTCTGCTGGAGTTAGGGCAGGCTGGAAATCACTGGCAGGTTTTCAAACACAGAACATTGCCATCCTACCCAGTGTTTGCAGCTCAAGGCTCATAGTCTGCCTTCTAACTCTTCTAAACAATTTCCATTTATTGGTATTTCTAAAAGTGACAACACCTGACGTTTTTAATAATTGTTTTTTAGGAGTCAGTTTTTGCACCTGCTTCTGATATTATAGCAGGTCTCTATCATCTGAACGTTGTAAGGCACATTCTCAGATTTTACCAAAAGTAATTATTGCACAATCAAATAAACATAAAAATGAGTAACTTCCTTTAGCTTTAGCAAAAAAGGTCGGATTAAAGTGTCTAACCCTGTAAATCAGCACAATCTTGACTTTTGTAATTCTCTTACTGTTGATACATCACGTGAAAGCCGCAGAATCTCAATTTCTTATTTTCAATCCTATGTCTAGTACAGCAAAGCTAAAGGCATGCTTTTCACTTTTTTCTTTACTAAGTTTGGATATTGACACTATTGTCTGCTTTCAATGTGGTCCCTCCTGTTGTTGTTTCAATCATGTCATTCATTATCTATAACTATCTTCTATTGATTGCATTAGAAAAGCTTTATCTCAGAAGAAATGTAACTGGAAATTGCTGTTCATTTGTTTAGAATATTACACACACACACACACACACACACACACACACACACACACACACACACACGTGCGTAAGCTCAGCCAGAATTCAAAGACATTAAGAAAAGCGAGGTAGAATGAGAATTCTCAGGAGGATTTGGCCACACAGACCATTTTATGTTTACTGACCCATCTTATTGTGGTTGTGACTTCGAAATGTGTAAATAGGAAATGACTCCATGAAAATTACCAAGATCTATATGAACTCGAACTGAGAAAGACGTTAATTAGAATGCCAAAGAAAAATCAATAGCACCGCTTTAAAACAAGTTTATAGGTTCAATGCATGGCACGTGAGGCTACGGAAAGGCTACCAAATTTAACAAAAGACAAGAATCTGGCTCAACGCATTTCTCATCAGAGGATTCTCGGGACCTTCTGTGAGTTTGGGCAATACACACACAGCTGAGTGAAATTTCTGCGTGGCCTAGCAGCTAAAGTCCTCGCCTTGAAGGCGCCAGGATCCCATATGGGCACCGGTTCTAATCCCAGCAGCTCCACTTCCCACCCACCTCCCTGCTTGTGGCCTGGGAAAGCAGTCGAGGATGACCCAAAGCTTTGGGACCCCGCACCCGCGTGGGAGACCCGGAAGAGGTTCCTGGATCCTGGCTTTGAATCGGCATAGCATCAGCCGTTGTGTTCACTTGGGGAGTGAATCATTGGATGGAAGATCTTCCTCTCTGTCTCTCCTCCTCTCTGTATATCTGACTTTTCAATAAATAAATAAATCTTAAAAAAAATACATTATATCAATGATATCTGAGATTAGCAACAAAAGTAAAAGACAATCAGTAGGTGTATTTAAAAATCAGAGAACCCATTAACGTATGGCCTTATAGACTGACTCAGATCTAACAACAAACCCAAGGATGACTGATGGGAACGGTGCTAAAGCAACTCTGAAAGCTCAGGCAGTTCAAGTCTCCATTTTCCATTGACCTCTTAGGAGCTACACACAACATGTAAGATCTATACTCAGTTTCCACTGCAACGTGATGGTTGTGGAAATGAGAAATCAACCCATTGGTCAGCTCACACTGCTATCAGGAGTTAAGCCTGTGCAGCCCTTTTAAATCTCCAACTTTCCAGCATCTCTTGGCGTTACTTGCTTCATGTTCTTAAAACCACGGTGCACAACCTACTGCTCTGCCATTTGTTTCTGATTATCCTTCCTCCATGCTCCAATTTGCATGACTTCATTGTTCTGTGGATTCAGAGCCTGTGAATTTATTACCAGGGCACCTGCCAGTGTTACTGCATTTAAGGAACTGTCAGCAGTTTCTATTCTGGGGTTCTAAATCGGTAACAAAAATTCACTCTGGGCTGAATTTTGGCATGTGTTTTAGGGTAACAAACCAAAAGTGAATTTATTTTTAGGAAAGGAGAAGAGGACGGAGGGGAAATAATTTTTGGCTGTGTGTGTTATTTTGTTTTCTGGAGGTATAGAAATATAAAATAAAAAACAGAAGTTGGTGGTTGCAGAAGTATTTGGAGAGATTAGTCTTTCCTAGAGTTTCTGAAGTTAATATCTTTTTCAGGCCATTAGTCCACATTCCAGACTAATGCCATAGGGTATTGTGGCAAATATTAAAATCATCTATTCTATTTGCAGACAGGGTATTTTGTGTATTGGCTATTTTTCATAGTTGAACAGAAGTTTCAGCAGGAAAAAAATAATGCTCTTAGTGAAAATCAGACCAGAAACAGCAAGTTTGAGATTCCTCGTAAAGGCAGAGGCATCTGAAACAGGACCACCACACGCTGAAGGGGCAGGCTGCAGGTGCTGAACACGTGCTTGTGGGCATCGAAAAGCACTGAGAATTAGGGACACTCTGAGCTTCATTTCATTTTGAAGGTTGATCTTTGAAAAGAACCTTCCAAATCTATACCTTCTTTATTTTACAAGTTTCTTTTTACTGGAAAGGCAGATTTATGGAAAGACGGAGATGCAGAGAAATATCTTCCATTTGCTTCCCCAGTCACAATAGCTGAAGCTGAACTGAGCCCACCTGAACTCAAGCATGCAGGAGCACCCACAAGGATGCAGGAGCACTCATAAGGATGCAGGGGCCCAACGCCTTGAGCCATCAGCCACTGCTTTCCCAGGCCACAGGCAAGGATCTGAGTTGGAAATAGAGCAGTCAGGACACAAACCTGCAGCCCAAAGGGATGCAGTACCTGCAGGCAGAGGAGTAATCAATTGAGTCATTGTACTGGTCCCCCCAAATCTAAATCTTTATCTGACAACTGGAAAGCATGGATAAGCAAATGCCCAACTTTCACTAATATAACAATCAGAAAGCTTTTTATCTTCCCAATCAAGGGAAAAGGAATCAGTATACTCACAAAAGTGAGAACACACAAGCATATACAGTCTCAGAAAGGAAATCATTAAACAATCCAAAGCATCTCCCTACGTCTGATGAGAAAAGTAAGGATAATAGCAAACAGATACCTCTACCTATCAATGAAAGAACAGAACTCAGTGGTACAGTGACTTCGACAGAGTTCTGAGAACTGTCCCCAGTGTTTTCATAAGGCACATCTTCATGAGCCTTTTAAAGATGTCTCAAAGAAACATGCTCTGAAAATGTTCTCGTACCACAATAAAACAATCAAACCCGTTTTGCAAAATGGTAACATAAGTTAAAAGCAGGTAAATGGCCGTGTTAACTCATGAAACAATTCTTGAGTGCTTCTGGGACCAAGCACTGAGCTAGACTGAGCTGGACTAAGAATCTTAGCTAAATC